TAACCTTTTTTTTGTCTGTGAAGCTTTTCATTTGACCTTCTATTTTGAATGATAGCCTTGCTGGATAGAGTAGTCTTGGATTCAGAACCTTGTTTTTCATGACCTTGATTGCTTCATGCCATTCCCTTCTGGCCTGTAGTGTTTCTATTGAGAAGTCAGCTGATGGCCTTATGGGGGTCTTTTGTGGATACCCTGTTGTTTATCTCTTGCTGCCTTTAGGATTCTCTCTTTGTCTTTAATTTTTGGCATTTTAATTATTATGTGTCTTGGTGTGGGTTTTTTTGGGTTCTTCTTACTTGGGGCTCTCTGTGCTTTTTGAACTTGAATGCCTTTCTTTTTTTTTTCACCAAATTAGGAAAGTTTTCTGTCACTATTTCTTCAAATATATTCTCTAACCCTTGCTCATTTCCTTCTTCTTCTGGACTGCTATCATGTGGATGTTGTTACATTTCATATTGTCACACAGTTCTTTTAAGTTATCTTCCTGTTTTTAAATTGTTTTTTTGTTTTTGCTTCTCTGATTGGGTGATTTTTTTCTACCTTGTCTTCTAATCCATTGATCAGATCCTCAGCTTTTTCTATTCTGCTGGTTATTCCTTCCAATCTGTTCTTTATTTCTGCTATGTCATTCTTCATTTCTGCTTGGAAGTTTTTTTATTTTCAGTTGGTTGACTTTTAGTGTTTCTATAGCTTTACTAATGCTGTTGAGCTTCCTCATAATCATTACTCTGAATTCTGCCTCTGATATTTTGCTTAATTCCATTTCATTTATCTCATCTTCTGTAGAATTCTCTTGGTTTTCATTTGGGATTTGTTTCTTTGTTTCGGCATTTTGGCTGGCTCAGTGGGTTTTGAAGACTGCCAAATTTTCCCTATGGGTGTTGGTGTTCTGCTGATTGTGGCTCCTTCTACTGGATTTGAATAAGTGTGGGAGGACCCATGTTAACCATACTGTCAAGTCTTACTTTCCTGGGTTGATGTCCATACCAAGTTAAGGTTCAGTTATCCTCTAGCTTTTGTCCACAGGCTGTTATTCTCAAGTTACTTAATGAGCCTTGGGTTGTGGCCCTCAACTGAATGAAAAATCTCTCGGTGTACAAGATAAGATGATTTTCAGTCGGTGGGGCAATTGCTTGCTGGCAATCTCTACCTCTTAATCAGACTCAATTTGCATTTCTCCAGCCTGACCTGGTGGTGTTAAATTCCTGAGGGAGTGTCTGTTGCTTCTTCCCGGCACTATGGAAAAGGGCTCTTTGAGCAAGATGGCCACTTTCCCATAGGGGAGTGATTCAGCACAAAACTCCTGGTGTCCTCCCCTCCAGCTCTCCCCTGAGCCAGGAGCCCAGGACTCTCTCCACATAGTTTCAGTCCAGTCCAGTCCACCCTCCCTCTGCAGGAGCCCAGGGTGAGTGGCTGTAGCTGATTTAGTGCTCTGGCCCTTCAGGGAACTGACTGCTCACAGCTAAAACAGCCCTCAGCTGCTGTCCATGGGCTCCCACCTTGCGCTCTTGTACCTCTGCAGTTCCTCCTAGGCTCTATTTGTTGTCCTTTTTCCATTCCTGGTTATAAGGGTTCTCTCTGGCTACTTTTCAGTTGTTTTTTCCCAATGATTTGCCTTTATTTGAGTTGTAATTCCCATTTGGTCCTGGGAGAGACAGTCTGTGTAGCTTCCATTCAGTCTGCTGCCATTTTTCTGGCCTTCCATTAGTTTATTTTTTTTGTTTCCCTTGCCAGAGGAGACATATTAAAAAAAAAAAAATGTTACTAAGAGAAATGTCAAAGAGTTTACTGCCTATGTTTTCTTCTAGGAGTTTTATGGTTTCCCACCTTACGTTTAAGTCTTGATCTTTGTTTTTGTTTTTCATTAATCCTCACCCGGGGATATTTTTGTCATTGATTTTAGAGAGAGTGGAAGAGAGGAGGAGGGGAGAGAGAGAGATTGGCGTGAGAGACACACATCAATTGGTTGCCTCCTACACATGCTCCAAGTATGTGCCCTTGACTGGGAATTGAGCCCATGACTCTCCAGTGCTCTTGCTGACTAACTATTGAGCCAAGCCAATCAGTGCACATTTAAGTCTTTAATGAATTTTGGTATATTCTTGCATATGGTGTAAGAAAGTGGTCTAGTTTGGGTTTTTTGCATATATTTGTCCAGTTTTCCCAACATCCTTTTTATTATAGAGACTATCTTTTGCCTGCTTTGTTATAGATTAATTCACCATATAGGTGTAGGTTTTTTTCTGGGCTCTCTATTCTGTTACATTGATCTTTGTGTCTTTTTTTTTTATGCCAGTACCATGCTGTTTTGATTACTATAGTCTTGTCATGTAGTTCTATATTGGGTAGCGTGATACCTCCAAGTTTTGAACTTTAAATATTTTAATAGTACCAGTGATCCAGTTTCTCACCTGGCAGTGTCTAGAGTTTCCAAACATTAAGTGCTATCCTTGCTCTTCTATGATGTCTATGTTTACATTTCTGGTGGAAAAAAATACCCTCTCAGAAATAGAGATAAAAAGTAAACTTCATACTGGGTAGCTAGAGAGAGACTTGCATACCATCATCAAGATGAAAAACAGGCCTCTGGCTCCACCTTCTCATTGAAATGACGCTGTTTGTCTTCCCCACTAATCTGCGCACCTGGTCTGGATTATAGCCCAGGACAGCATGCAGACAGGCAGATGCTGAGCTCACTAACTCAGTGAACACAGCTGAGGTAGATCATTAATCAGAGCCACTCCTGCCAAACAGCCCACAGTGCTGGAACACTAAGACTTCTTTGCTCAACTATATTAAGAAAGACATGTATAGTAGAATAATTACCAATCATCTGAGTGGTAATCATTAAAGAGCAGCTAATGATATTAAAGCTAAATACCAAAAAAAAAGAGAGAGAGAGAGAGAGAGAGAACGGGTGGGTAGCTAGGACACTTTGAATACTTTCTTTTTTAATCTTCACCACAGGTATACGTATTGATTTTAGAGAGAGGGAGGGAGGGAGGGAGGGAGGAGCAGAGAGAGAGAAACATCAGTGTGAGAGAGAACATTGATTGGTGGCTCTCTGCAAGTGTTCTGGCTGAGGAATTGAACCCACAACCGTTTGGTATACAGGATGACACTCCAACCCACTGAGCCAGGGCCACTGTGAATAGTTTGTGAAGTTGTATTTATGATACTTCAACTTAAATTGTTTAGGTTTAAAAAAAAAATGTCTGGACCCTTTAATGCAGTTGGTGGGATCTGCAGCACAGTGTGCAGGATTTGGGGTGGAGCTCCCTGAGGCCAGTCCTCCAAAAGCAAGCACATTTGGACACTCCCTGTGGCCAGCCCTATTAGGGCACTGATTGGCCTCTTTTCTCTGTTCCCTGCCCACCTTGTTCAATGTTCTCACTCCTGGTATGTGAGAGACAGAGGGTAGGTTGTATACTGGCCCAGAATTTGGCCTTCTTATCTTTAGCTTAGCTGTTCACATATCCGCAAAGAGCTGGTCAGCAAAAGGTGTTTATAGAACTGCAGCTCATAACAAACAGAACGTGAGTGTTGTTCATCACAGAAGCTGTGGCGTGCATTGTTTCACAGGGAGTGTCTCCCTAAGGCAGGATCCATAGAACAGGTGCAGAATACAGCATGTACTCATTCTGCCTCTTGTTCAATAAAGGCAAAGGTGGCCTCATGAGATCCTGTGTGCTGTATAGAGTATCCTTATAAAGCATTTTATTTTATTTTTGCTAATTTATTTATTTTTAGATTTCTTATCTTTAAAACTTTTTATGGTCATTTTTCCAAACTACTGAAAAGAACATTGATATTAAAGAAAAAAAGACTAGCCCTGGCTAGTTTGGCTGCGGTTAGAGTGTTGGCCCTCTGACCAAAGAGTCGCAGGTTTGATTACGGTCAGGAGCATATACCTCAGTTGTGGTTCGGTCTCCAGCCTTGGTCCAGGTCATGCAGGAGGCAGTTAGTCGTTGTGTCTCTCTCACATCAATGTTTCTCTCTCTCTCCCTCTCCCTCCTATTCTATCTGAAGATAAATGGGGAAAAAATATCCTCGGGTGAGGATGAAAGAAAGAAAAAAAGACTATTCCTTTGAGTGAAAAAAAGTTTGGTGGTTATGCTTTTGTTTAAAATTATTTTACCTAGGCCCTAGCTAGTTACTCAGTTAGTTAGAGTATCATTCTGATATACCAAGGTTGCAGGTTTGATCCCCAGTCAGGGCACATGCAAGAATTAGCCAATGAATGCATAAACAGGTGGAACAACAAATCGATGTTTCTCCCTCTCTCTCTAAAATCAGTAAATAGAAAAAAATATATATACTTTAAATACTCTTTCTAAGCACATACTGTCTATTTTAAATGAATCAGTTAAGATGGAGAATGCCAAGTCATTTATCCTTGCCCCAAAATTAAATATTTATTTGAAAGGAGATGTCTTATTTTATTTCCAAGATAAAACATTTTTCATTTCCATATACTGAAGGATAGTTTTACTAAAGTATTAAACCCAAGACTCTGCTGAGTGCCCACCTTGTGCTAGGCACAGTGTTGGGTAGGAGGACGGCCCTTGGTGAGCCAGCCCTGTGGGTAAGTTTTCCACAGACACAGGAGTGTGGGGAGCAAAGGCCTTTCTTCCTGGGGGATAGGGAGGCTTCTCATTAGGGGGAAAATTGGCTCCTTGGTTCAATTGTTCCTCATTTTCAGGCAGACACTTATGAAATGATTGCACTCCCATGAAAGATAGTTTCTACATAATTCAAGATTGTCCTGGATCTCTCTCTCATCAGAGAGGAAGAAACGCTGTATGAATTATTTACAGAGCATCAAGTGATTTCCTTTCATGAACTCCGACTTTGTTTTTGTCTCCGCAAACTGAGATTTTGTTTATCCATGAATAGTTTTCCCTGGGGCATGAAAAATATGACTCTTTAATTATGAATGAGGTTTTTTGTTTGAGTCTATGTTAACTAAAACATGCAAAATAAACTGTGTTTTTCATTAGATCCCTTTCAGCTCCCCACAAAAACAGAACCAACAAAAGAACAAGCAGTTCAACCAGCACTCACCAGGAAGCCCACTGTGATTCGAATTCCAGCCAAACCAGGAAAATGTAAGTACTTCTCTCTCTTCTTTATTTGCTTCTCCAAGAGCCTGGGAGAAATATATGCTCTTCCATCAATGTCTGCTTTTGAAATTATGTGTAATCAGCCATTTATTATTATTCATAGTCAAGGATGTTTATTTATTTATTTATTTTAACGGTGTTTTTATTGATTTTTTAGAAAGAGAGGAAGGGAGAGGGAGATAGAAACATCATTGTAAGAGACAAACATCCATCAGCTGCCTCCTGCATACCCCCTACTGGGGGTTGAGTCTGCAACCCAGGCATGTGCCCTGACCGGGAATTGAACTGGGACCTCTCAGTCCATAGGACAACCCTCAATCCACTGAGCCACACTGGCTGGGCAAGTCAAGGATATTTAAAAGCAAATTGTATTTTTACCATTCCTTAGACAATTAGTACAGTAAATTTATATTTTGTTTCTCATTAACATTGTCTCTAGGTAGAAAGAATAGAGGGAGACTGAAACTCAGTATAATTATAATATCCTATCCCAGTGCCTCTAGTAAAGACAAGGTAGGAAAGGAATCGAAACTGCTAGCAAATGAAGTTATGTATGTCTGTCATATAGGAAGTATATTATTCCCATCAGCATAACCTAAATATAACTCTATTTACTTTTTTCTGCACACTTACAAATTAGACTAATGGTCCTGGAATTTTGAAATGGGTATATTGAGGAAACACATTTTTTTTTCTTTATTAATTTTTGAGAGAGAGGAAGGGAGAGGGAGAGAGAGAAACATCTATGAGAGAGAACATCGATCGGCTGCCTCCTGCATGCCTCCCAACTGGGGATTTGGCCCACAACCTGGGCATGTGTCCTAATTCGGAATCTAACTGGTGACCTCTTGGTGCATGGGTTGATGTGCAACCAGTGAGCCACACTGGCTGGGCAGGAAACACATGTATTTATCATCCTGACAAAGCTCCAAGAACTATTGGAAAGTTGAATTCTATACTGCTATATGTGAGAGAACTGAAGAGCCAGTTTCTAGAGAGTTCTTTCTATTTATTTCAAAAGCCAGTTCCTCAGAATTTTATTATTACAGTGATCAAGCAATGCATATATTGCTGTGGAGGAAAAAAAGTACGACTTTTGGTGTCTGAAGAACTTCGAGTGGACAGGTGGGGAAAGGAACAGCTTTGCGGTGCAAAAGTCCCATTGCTTCTTTGAACCTGCCGGCTCCTTCCTCTGGGGGCCTGTGCCTTTAGACTAGGATGTTCTTTTCCCAGATACTGCATGACTCCCTCCTTCACCATTCCTTCAGGTCTTTGCTCAAATGCCACTTTTCTGATCGAGACCTCTGCTTACCACATTATTTGAAATTGGAAATCTCTACCTCCCCCACACCCACACCAGATAATTCCCATGTCCCTTCCTGCCAGCCAGCCATCTCCTTCTACTTTCATATTGTTACTACTTTGTACCCATAATTGTTTGTTACAACAATATTATATGCTAAGCATTCATTACTTCCTTGTTAAGAATAAGGAAAGCGCAGCACAGAGAACGGCTTCCAGATGGTGACTGAGTTGGAATGTTCTTGTGTATCTTCATTCCCAGAGCAGCGCTGCCTCTCACTAAGAACACTTGCCTATCTCCAAATCACTGTTTGTCTAGTAGCTGGCCTGGGAATTTTCCTCCTTTTGAGTGTTTTCCTGTCTGTGGATGAAATAGGAACCTGACAGATCATCCTCTTGTTATAGGTTTTTCATGTGAAATGGAGGCAAGGAGTGTTCTGTTTTTATTATTGTTGCTGTTGTTAATCCTCACCCAAGGATAGTTTTCCATTTAGTTTTAGACAGAGTGGAAGGGAGGGAGGGAGAGGGAGAGAGAGAGAAATATGGATGTGAGAGAGACATATCAGCTGGTTACCTTCCGCACAACACCAACACCAGCCGGAGCCACAAATCAAACCTGCGACTCAGGTTATACGCCCTTGACCAGGAATCAAACCTGTGACCCTTTGGTCTGAGGGCTGATGCACTAACCATTAAGCAAAACTGGCAAGAAGGGAGTGTTCTTTTGAAGGAATGGGAAAACCTCCCATCTCCTTTAAATGCCTAAGCCTATGTGTAAAAGATGGTGTTAGCCTCCTTTAGTACGTTAGTTATCCTCCCTCCAAGTGTTTTTGCTCACAGATTTTAATTAGCTATCGCCAATCAAATCTGGTCATCTTTGTTTTCTTCTTTTTATTTTTTGTTTGTTTGTTAATCCTCACCTGAGGGTATTTTTCCACTGATTTTTTGTTTGTTTTTTAGATAGAGTGGAAGGGAGGGAGGTGGGAGAGAGAAACATTAATGTGAGAGAGACACATCGATTGGTTGCCTCTCAGACAGGACCCCCACTAGGGCAGGTGATAAAACCTGCAACCCAGGTACATACCCTAGACTGGGAATGGAACCCGTGACCCTTTGGTCCAATGGACAACACACTAACTGCTGAGCCAAACCGACAAGGGCTATTTTCTTCCTTTTTAAAGTAAGTTGAGGGTGCACAGTCACTGAGTTAAGGATGTAGTTTGGATGTAAAGATAATTGTTAAATTGAGGGGGCAGTTACACCCCATTAATCTAGAGCTAATGAATTACAAAACACATTTAACTATTTGGATGGGGAGGGTTGGATACACCACCTCTTAAGAAGCAGTTTGCCTATTTTAATGAGCATAGCCTTTTGAGTTCAAAACCCTGTTCTTACCATTACTAGCATTAAGACCTTGAGTGGCTCATATATTTTCTTCTCAGTTTCAGTTTCTTCACCTGAAAAATGGGTAGGATGTTGTTTAGTGTAGTGCTGTCGAGTAGGACTTTCTTCAAAGATTGAAATATTCCATATCTGTGCTGTACAAAATGGTAGCCACTAGCCATGTGTGGATGTGGAGTACTTCAGATGTGGCGAGTGCAGCCAAGGAACTGAAATTTTAATTTTATATAATTTTAAATAATTAAGGTGTAAATCACCACGTATGACTGCTAGCTAGTGGACTGCACAGATCTAGCACATAGGTAGATATTGGTTGGAGAAATGCATGTGAGTAAAGTACTTTAACGTAATGCCTGGCACATCAAAGGTTCTCAGAAATGTTGCCTGCTGTTATAATTATTTAGCATTATTTTTACCCTCTATAAAATATCCCATAACTGATGTCTACTCACCATCAACTTTCTGACATTTGTTGGGAGTTCTTGCTCACTCGCTTAGCTCTCCACCTTTGTGTGGATCTTCTATGGTAGCCATTTTCCTAAGGAACCAAGCTGCAATCATGTCATTCTTCAGATCCCCAAGACCAGAAATTACTGATGAATCACTGCTGTTTTTTCAGGTTTACATGAGGATCCACAAAACCCACCTCCTCTCCCTACTGAAAAGCCTATTGGAAACACTTACAGTACAGTATCTGGAAAACCCAGTAATGTTGACAGAACTAGAAACTTGGTAAGTGGTCATTATAGACTGTCATAGGTTGAAGACCAGGTGATACACTAATTTTAAATATGTCCAAATCATTTTACTACTGGTCAGATAAAAAATCAGTTATTATAAATCAGTTTCTAAGTCCCATATACTTATTTAATATGATGTTTTGTATTTTACAATCCCTGTAGAACAAAAGAATTGGGCCAATTCATTGTACTTCATCATAAAATAATGTGTCCTATACCAATATAATGGCCATGTCTTTTAAATGGCACTAATAGCCCTGGCCGGTTTGGCTCAGCGGTTAGAGCGTCGGCCTGCGGTCCGGAGAGACCCAGGTTCGGTTCCCGCTAAGGGCACGTACTTCGGTTGCAGTTTGTCCCGGCCCTGGTTGGTCGTGCGGGTGGCAGCCACTCGATGTGTCCCTTCACGTCGATGTTTCTCTCTCTCTCTCTCTCCTCTCTCTCCCTCCCACTCTATCTGTACAGAAAATGGAAAAATATCCTCGGGTGAGGATAAAAATAAATAAATAAATAAATGGCACTAATAATGAGGAAGTTATGAAAAATCTCTGAAAACCTATAATATTTGTGGAAATAGATTTATTTCAATTATCAATTTTTATTTAAAATACCAATTAGTGATACAATTTTAAGATGATTACCGTAAGAAATTTTTATCTGAAAGTTAAGGAAAAATTATTTTTAAATTAAAAAAATAGTGCTTTACTATATACTTGTTAACAGATGGTAGGCAAAGAGTTTTAAACATAAATATTTTTTTTTCAACCTTAGTATCATTTCCCTATACTTTTTGAAATTCCCACATAATAGATCATCTTTAAGGTTTGTTTCAAAAGAAACCAGTTCTTAAAGTCTATGAATCAAATTTTTATTTCAAATTTCATAGTAGTTTTACATTGTGCATTAACTATGCTTATTTTACATACAAACCATCTGGTCATCTAGTTGAAGAGAAATTTCTTTGAAGAAGACATTAAATTGAATTAGCCAATATCAAGTTAATGAGATTTTCCTTAGGCTGAATTAAAATTTAGTGACCACTTGCATTTTCAAAGTACTTAGTAATAAATTTTTATTAAAACTGGGCCAAGAAATCCCAAAAGAGGATGATAAGACCCCTATCATACTACTGTTGAATAGGAAAATCCCAGATTTCATGGAGAAAAAATTACCTGAGAAGGTTAGGGCATTTACTCTAAAGGGTTGTAAAAGAGAGGGAGAGAATGATGAGTGGGCATACATATTCATTTACATCATGGGCTTTGTAAACCAAATAGCTCTATTAAAATATGAGGTATTACATTTGGTGTTAAGCAGTCCACAGAGCAACTCCCACATTTTAGAAAAACAAGAAAAGGAAGTTAGAATAAACTAAGCCATCTGGAGAAGTACTGTGTTCACAATTGTTTGTACCTCACATGAACAACACGAGGAAAGTCCTGTCCTGTACTGTTTACAAAGAGAAGTGGGGCTCTGCACATTCTTTGCTGAGCTGTAATGAATACGTACCATAGGAGACACGTTGGGTCTGAAGAAAGAAGAGATGAGCAGCACACCACAAGTTAAACGATTTGGCTTAAGTCACACAAATAGATTTCCAGGGCCAAAAAGTCAAATCTGTGAGAAATTTTTTGTTTGAGAATTACAATTACTGACTGGAATTTATACCTGAGGCCATAAAGACTTCAGGTGTGGGTAAGGAAGGATCTCTAGAAAAACTATTTCTTCAGTGTAATGACCCATGAAGATAAGTCACAGGGAAAAAAAAAAAATCCTCTACTGTTTCCCCTGCCTTCAGTGCTGGGAAACTTTTCATCTCAGCACAAATGGCTATAGTTGCAAAATCTCACTTTCTTCACTTAAACAATGAGGGACTCCGGGGTGGGGAGTGTCAGGAACCACGGGAGCCCTTCTGTCAGCAGGAGCAGATGTTTCTGTGTGCCCTGTTGCCCACCAGGGGACCCAAGGCTCCCAAAGCCTTCCCCCAGGAGACTGCCAGCTGGGGCAGGACAGAATCACAGGTATAGCATAGAGTATGGCTCATGAACCCAGGACATGCAGTAGTACCAGTTCCTGGAGAAAGAGAAGAAGCGTCCGCCAAGGCTGCTCAGTAATTCCAACAAACAAGAGTGTGGTCTTAGAAGAAATGTCTGTCTTTTAAAAATACAGCCAAAACTGGGACTTATTTTGAAATTAGGATAAAAGAAAGAATTCCAAAGCAGATGAACAAAAAAGATGGCATCTACAGGAACAGTACAGCAGAAAAACCAGGAACTAAAATGCCTATCCAAATACATCAAAAGCCAGAATACAGGGATGTCAAAGCTAGAGAAATATTACATAAAGCTGATGCAGAGTGGCTCCAGTTATGTGTGGAATATTAAAGAGGAGGAAAGCCCTAATCAGTAATCTTCCGAAGACTGTTGGAGAAACCTGTGCATAAACCTAAATTTGAGCAAATACTAGGGCAACGGCTTCTGCAGTAACCATTTCCTGTGCTCAGTGTGTCAGACACAGCAGTGCCTTTCAGAAGGTGCCTAACATTCCCCAGGGATTTGAAGGTACTGGCTTCTTTTCTGGTTTAGACTTTGCTCATTGTAGAAAATTAAGAAAAAGATATTTAAGATTGTTATAAATAGCACCATCTGGAGAAAACTCTATCCAGTATTTGGTACTAGATTAGGATTATATGGTGCGTATTTATCACAGGACATCATCTAGAAAACTTTCTATGTCAAATTTATACATATATATATTTTTTAATTTGCTTTTAATTATCAAGGTATCTAACAACTATGATGTTGAGAAAAAGCAGCAAAAGTTCCTGCCTATCTGCTAGAGTATTTTTCTGCTTGTTTGTTTTAATTTTTAAAGTGGCGAGAGAAATAAATGAGTTTTTTAGTATCACAGCAGTATTTGTCAGGGGGAAATAGCAGCAGCAGTGTGTTTATAAGGCATGGATTATAGTCTGGAATATTGCAGGGTTTATGAGCTGGTGACTCTCTTCACTACATTAACTGAACTCATTAGTGAAACCAAGTTTTAAGGGCAAGCTTAATTTGTTTTTTAAAATGGGGTTTTAAAACATTGAAACATATTTCAATGATCACAGTTATTGGCAATTAATCATTTGGTATTTAAGGAAAAGTTATAAATAATCAGTTTGAATTAAAAACCGTGGAAGTGAGTTTTAACTCATTTATTATAGAAGGAGGAAGACAGATCTCCCAAGGTATAGTTAAACCTCCTTTACAAAAAAACAAAACAAAAATAGAGCAGTGTAATTTTAAAGGGCTGGCATTTTTACCCCTTATGAAGTCTTAGAGAAATGTTATTTTCTGAAAGTCAGTGTTAGAGGCTTAGAAAGTAGAAAAGGTTAAAAAAGAGACAAAGATTCTATCAGAATTAGAACAATTTGGTAAGGACTTTTTCCCTCCAAAAACAGAAGTTTTGGCTTTGAGATCCTTTTTTTAAAACCCTCACCCGAGGATTTTTTTTTTTTTTTTTTTTATCCTCACCCGAGGACATTTTTCCATTTTTTGTTCAGGTAGAGTGGGAGGGAGAGAGAGGAACAGAGAGAGAGAGAGAGAAACATCGATGTGAAAGCAACACATCGAGTGGCTGCCACCCGCACAACCAACCAGGGCCGGGGACAAACTGCAACCGAAGTACGTGCCCTTAGCGGGAACCGAACCCGGGTCTCTCTGGACCGCAGGCCGACGCTCTAACCGCTGAGCCAAACCAGCCAGGGCGGATTTTTTTTTTTTTTTTTTTTTTTTAACATCTATCTTCAGACAGAGTGGGAGGGAGGAAGAGAGAGAGAGAGAAACATTGATGTGAGAGAGACACATCGATTGGTTGCCACCCACACAACCCCAACCTGGGCCAGGGACGAACCACTACCGAGGTATTGCCCTTGGCCGGAATCAAACCGGGACTCTTTGGTCCACAGGCCAACACTCTAACCACTGAACCAAACCGGCCAGGGCGGCTTTGAGATTCTTTAACTTCTTATTCAACAGAAGATCTGAAAATATTTTTCATGTAATATACTCATTTCCCAATCCTAGGTCCACAACATGTCCAGAAAATCTATTTAAATAGCCCAGTTTGAATCTCTTCCCCTAGAGAAATCTTCCTATTGATCCCCACAGTTCCAACTTCTCTCATCTGCTATTAAGCTAAAACATTCCATGCTGTCTTGTTTTTCACATTATCCTCTATACTCCTTCCCCCAAAACTCTTCTCGGCACATCCCACCGTTTTGCTATAGTGGTACAAGCTTTCTGCTTTCTTGGGCCTTGCTGTTCCTCCTCATATGCCTTCATTTCAGGCCATCCCTTAAGCTTCTTTTATTGTTCCCACCTCCTTCTAGTCCAGAACTTACTGCACAATATATACACTATCCAGTGTGAGAGAGCTGCCTGTTCTAGGCAAAACAAACCAATCACCACCTCACTTATGTCTTAAACTTGGAGCTGTGCATACCTTACGTGTGTGTCATCATGTGATTCATGAAGGCCACATGTTTTGTTTTTTTAATTCCCTACAGTTCCTGCTTAAATTGCTACTGTGTAATCTATCACGATTTAAACATCATTCTTGATGCCTCTTGAATCTGCTAGGTGTACAGCCATGCAGGACAGCTGGTTGGGTCATGGTCAATAGCAGATCGCTAGTCTTCTCCTCTCTGTCGTCATTTATATTAGGATATGGACAATTTATGTGGGAACGTGGAATGAGTTAATACTGCTTAAGACTAAAAATTTTCTCTACTTTCTAACTTGTTTTATTTTCTATAACTCAGCTACTTTTCCACTTATAGATACAGCCAGTTAGTTGTCCACAATTCCTCTTGACAAGATGTTTCAGATTAACCTTAACTAAAAAACATTCTCTGATACTTGCAGGAATCTGACCAGGCTGGTCAAACAGGAGGTTCTGTGAGAGGACCCCCAAGGCTACCACCAAGGTAATTGTGGGAAAGTTTTTAAAAAGTAAGTTTGATTCCACATATAAGTGAGATCATGTGATACTTGTCTTTCTCTGACTGGTTTATTTCGCTTAGCATAATACCCTCCAGGTTCCTCCATGCTGTCTTGAAGGGTAAGAGATCCTTCTTGAAGTCGGGAGCAAGGGAGAAGGCAGGAGTGGGAAAGAGGGGGTCAGTGGGAGAAAAAGGGGAGACATCTGTAATACTTTAAACAATAAAGATACATGTTTTAAGTTAGAGAACAATTAATGACTTAGAGACTGGACTGTCCTTTCTATCATCAAAACTGAGTGCTGTTGACCTTGGATCTTCTTTTAGAGATACATTAAACTCATTAATTCACCCAGGCCACTAGCCTACAGTCTGCTTCTGACAGCAGGTTGTAGGAATCTCTGCTTCTTTCTTTTAACACAGTCCCAAAACTCACAGAACACAAACATGGATCTCTGTTACTTTTCCTCAAATGAACAAAACTCCTTTCTGAACCTAGAACAACTCCACTTCTGGAATGAACACACACACACACACACACACACACACACCCATACACTCATACTTTCACTCTCACACCTTCACACACTCCCCACTATGAGAAACCAGCCTGGTTTGGGCATTTCCAAAGGGGCACAGGCTTTGTGAGCTCAGTGGTGACCTGCCTGCCTGAGTTCCAGGCTTATTTGAATAAAAAGTTGTGATGCTATCAAAAGATGTTACTATGTTAGAAATTATTTTTACCATAGGAATTAAGGAAAGACTTTCAAAGTAATGATTGTCCTAGCTCATTTTCAAAACAGTTTTCTCTACATTAATCTAAACTAGAGTTGGAATAATTCCTATAACATGAACATTAGGGGAGTTTGATATTCCTTTTCTAATCATGGACTAGACCACATCACATATACCTGACAGTTTATTACAACCTTTTATCTCAGACTTTGGTAGAAAGTGCTTAGTTTCCTGAAACAGTCATGGTGTGTTTAAGAGCAAATGGGGCCTTAGAGAGTACATGATAGTAAATGATTGTTTATCTTGAACTAATGAATCTCCAGTGCAAGATAAGAGGAAGCTGGAACATCACAGCATTTCCTCTATAATATAATGTTTAATGCAGCAGCCATTTGCTCAGAAATAGCATACCCTGCATGTTTAGGTAATTGTATTTTACTATCAGAAAGCTCTGTGTGTGTGTGGGGGGGGGGTGTGTGTGTACAAAACAGAACCTAATATTGATCAAACACTGACTCACAGGTCTCACATTGCTTTTCAGACCTGCAAATGGAAAAGTCATACCAGCTCGACAACCTCCTCACAAGGGGGCCCCTGAAAGACCACCTCCCCCAAGACTTTCTGCAACCAGAACATCAAATAAAAAACTGCCTTTTAATCGGTCTTCTTCTGACATGGATCTTCAGAAAAAACAAAATAACTTGGCATCCAGACTCTCCAAAGCCAAGAGTCAAGTTTTTAAAAGTCAAGATCCGGTGCTACCCCCTCGCCCTAAACCAGGACACCCTCTCTACAGAAAATACATGGTAAAGTTAAAATGCTTATGGTCAAGAGGTTTGTCTTAAAGTAATAGATAAGATCCATTATTCCTTAGAGGAAAACATTGAGACAAAGGTGGACTTGACCCTTGACCCTCAGAGTGCTTTAGCTAAGTAGGCCAAAATAAAACACAGGTCTTTAAAGCAGGGTTTTATTATTAGTTGAAATATAGAAAGAGGAAGCAGTACAGACAGGGGTTGACCAAATAGGAACTCTGAAAAACCTGACCAGTAGATTAGATTTATGGGAGTAATTCTGACAGATTTTATAGTTTATATTCCTTACCCACAGATTAAAATTTAAAATAAAATAGAAAGGTCTTAGTAAAGTGGGTGGTTTTTGTAAACCTAATTACCATGGTCCATTTAATAGTTACCCATTAGAAGTTTTCATTAATAATTGGAATAGTTGAGATACTAATTTTGTTTTTTCTTATGAATATTTTTTTCATCATATAACCTTAAACCTTGTCTTTATTTCCCATACTTAAAAACAGAGTTGAGGGTGTTCTTTCCATTTTGGTTCAAATTAACCTGATAAAATCTAGAGCAAATAAAAATGAGATCACGACCATCTGTAATTTTTTTTAATTTTATTCCTCACCTAAGGATATTTTCCCACTGATTATCAGGTAGAGTGGGAGAGAGGAAGAGAGAGAGACAGAGAGAAACATCGATGTGATAGAGTCACATTGATTGGTTGCCTCCCACACGGCCTGACCAGGGCCAGGGACTAACTACAGCCCAGGTGCATGCCCTTGACCGGAATCGAACCTGCAACTCATTGGTCTGTGGGCCAACCCTCCAAGTGCTGAACCAAACCAGCCAGGGCCTGTCTGTAATTTTTAAACAATTATATGACAGCTTTCACTCAGAACAGCAATTAATAATTTCATATTGTGCTACATTTTCATCATTGAGCCAGAAATTATTTTCACTGTAAGTCATTTAGGGTTCTTAAAAATCCTCCTTAGATAAGAAAGAGTGATAGAGTGAAGCCGCGAAAGCCGAAGAGTGAAGTGGTGAGGGACGACTGTTTATAAATACGGAATCCTACTTCACGGAAATTCATTTATTGCGGTAGAGTCTGGAACTGATTAACCGCAATAAATGAGGGCCGACTGTAGGATATTTATATATATTCATATTCAGTTAAACTGATGAAATATTTTATTGCTAAAACCCCAGGGGTATTGTTTGGGTTACGTTACTTAAAAATAATAAATAAAAATAATAGTTGAGCCCTGGCCAGTTTGGCTCAGCAGTTAGAGCATCGGTCCGCAGACCAGAGGGGCCCGGTTCGGTTCCTGCTAGGGGCACATACATTAGTTGCGGTTTGTCCCTGGCCCCCGGTTGGGGTCCTGTGGGTCGCAGCCACTCCATGTGTCTCTCTCACATCGATGTTTCTCTCTCTCTCTTCCTCCTTCTCTCCCTCCTGCTCTATCTGAAGATAAATGCAAAAGTGTCCTCTGGTGAGGATAAAAAAAAAAATTCAAAATAGTAGTTGATGTATTAAGTGCTTATGGGCCAGATACTATTTGAAGCACATTATACATATTAAATAACTCATTTATTCATCACACCATCTCTGTTATACAGATGAAGAAAAGGATACACAGAGCCATTAAGTAACTTGTCCAGGGTCACAAAGCTAGTTAATGGTGGAGCCAACTTTTGAACACAAATCAACTGACTCTGAGCCCTTGCTCTTAACCATGATGCTGTACTATGGAAATAGTGCTTATGGTTCTTAGCATAGCCATGTATTGTCAATAAAACTTTTGAAGAACTCAAATGAATAAATTTGAAATAATGGTATATTAGAGAAGTATATCTCATTTTGAAATAATTTCTTAAATTCCTCATTTTTTCCAAGGCTACCCTACCATTAAATTGCTAACCAGGAATATGGGTATGTTGGGAGCCCGGGCACTCTGACAGAAATGCTGGGAAGCATCACCACCCAAACCCTCGTACTCTGCATCTTTGCTCCTAAGTGATGGAAGGGCCCAAGCAGCCTCTCTTCCCTTGTTGGAAGTGAGCATGTGATCACATTTCCTGGGTATGCCTTTGTATTGTAAAGGCTCTCTGACCTGTACTCATCAGCCAGAATTGACCAAGGCAGGGAACAGAGTTGCCTGGCCAGGGTGGGGTACAGATGTAAAAACCATTCTAAGATCAGAAAGAGCTGAGTGGACCAGGAAGTGACTGGAGTCAGGCAGCGCATTGGGTTTAAGTAGACACTTGGTAGCAGAGAGGCTCTTACAAGATGAGATTCGAGGCAAATGACACAGTTAGTCATGCACTGTAGAGGAGGTGCTAGGCCCCGGTCAGCCTCAGAAGACATCAGCCATTGAGAGCCCTGACTCAAAGGCAGGCCTGAACAGTACGTGAGCTCAGGTGCCGAGTATTTATCCTTGAGACACCCAGGGCACTTGGCAGACCTTGTCCTGTAGAATAGAACTTCCTGGTTCCAGTGGTTAAAGAGAACTTCAGGCCACATCCGGCTGCTGTGGGTTCAACCCTCACTCCCAAGGACTCTCAGTGTCCATGAGAAATGGCAGGCCCCACTAGGCCTCCAGCATGAGGAAGCCAGGTAAAGATTTCCCTGGAAAATTGTACATTAGGCACACCTGCCAAACCCCCAGATGACCAGCAGTTTATGATGAGGTTATTTGATTGTGAATAATCCTCTTATTGGTTTACATTTAAGCTGTCGGTGCCTCATGCAATTGCCAATGAAGACATTGTCTCCCAAAACCCCGGAGAACTCTCTTGTAAGGTAAAATAGAGCTCTTTCTTTACTGACAAGTGTAAAAAAAATTACCACCCTCTGTTATTACTTCTCTACACGTTATTAAATGCTTTAGGCTTCAAATATTAAAATGTGGGGAAAGTAATAATGTTTTATTAAATAATAATTGCTTCACTGAGTGGTATTGTACCTTCCAGCGTGGGGACGTACTTGTGATGCTGAAGCAGGCAGAAAATAATTACTTGGAATGCCAAAAGGGAGAAGACACTGGCAGAGTTCACCTGTCTCAGATGAAGATTATCACCCCACTTGATGAACATCTTAGGAGCAGACCAAACGTAAGGAGTTACTATTGTACAGCCCTCTTATCACCCATGGTAACACATTTCAAAGAACTATTAATTACATCTCATCCTCGGGTTTTTATTCGCATTTTTTAAGCCAGAGTAGAAATTATAGTAGCATTTTATTCCATTTTAAGAATAAATTACTTCTAAGAGACTTGCCACTGCCTTACTAATCACCTTGATACACAGTGATTACCACGTGTTTTGCCTTCTTCATATCGTGCTGACTTATGGCAACCAGAGCACCCAGTCATTAATTTTCAACTGTGAGAGCCATTTATTTTTTAAATAATGTAAAGATGTTTGCTAAAGTGCCAGAGATTAGTTTCCTAGCAGAATGGATAATTATTTTAAAGGGGCTCCTATAAATGCTTACTTAGTCTGATATAAAAAAGCACTTCCCTTTAAGATTTAAACTTAGTGTAAACCTCATCTCTGTGATTATAGCTCATAAAATATTGAAATGAAATGCAACCCAGCAACCTAAAGTTATAGTTTAGGCCTAACAAATGTGTGGATCCTGGGAGAATACAGTGATCATTGAAGGTCATTTGTTTAACAAGAAAAATGTCTTTGAACTATGAACTATGTTTAGAGGTATATTTTTAAAAGAGCTTCTTAAATCACCCAGTTAAAATTTTACTATTAGTTAATGTAGCAAACATGAAAAATAATATCCACTAATCATTTGATCCAAGTAAAATATTTGGTTTCCCATTCATTCTAGTTTTCATAATCTAGTCTAATTCTTTCTTCTTAGAAGGCAATATATCTTTTGAAGGTTGCTGAGAAACTAAGAATTTATATATTGGAGAGCAGAGAAGATACATGTTAAGTGAGTTGCAGCTGGGATACTGAAAATTCTACGTTTAATTTACGTGGGGAAAAATCTTCCATCACTCATTTTTCCCTTGTTTTGATCCAGCGTCATCCATCTGTCACAGCTGTCCCTTCTCTCTCAGCACACGCTGAGGGTGACCATGGGACTTGGACTGCCAAAAAGCTGTTCCTTGTGAAAAAATAGAAGCTAAAAAGATGAGAATTTATTCTTTTTTAACAGTCCAAATTTTTTTCCACGTTAAACATGACCTTACTCATCTTGTACCATAGACTTGCAGAGTTGGCCTCTGATGGCCAACTACAGGTGACAAAAACAAAGCCTCGTTTAGGCTTCTTCGTTCATGGCTAGCATTGCATTTTTTAAAAAATAATTTTAACTATTTGAAAGCCTAGTTTTAAGGTAAAGATTTCTAAAAATGTGTTATACTTTCCCTTTCTTAGTAAGCAGAAAATATCTAATGCTGTCAGTTGAGGTTGAATCTGCAGATCATGGGAAAAGTGGGAGATTGTTACCTTGTTGCAAACACAGATTTGGGCTTCAGGGAGATGGGGTTTCAGTTCCCTTTCTGCCACCTTAGGTAAGTTATCTCTAAACTGCAGTTTTTAAATATGTGAAATATGTATGATAATTCCTCACAGAGTTATTTTTAGAATTAATATATGTTCCATTTATATAAAAGTCCAACATAGATAAATCTAGAAAGTAGAGTGGTGGTTGCCTGGGGGATGAGGGTGTGGTGGGGGAGTGGTGGTAAATGGTAGTGACTTCTAATGGGTAGGTTTCTTTATGGGGGTGACAAAAAAGGTTTTTGTGTGTTTTTTTTTTTATTCTCACCCGAGGACATTTTTGCATTTATCTTCAGATAGAGCGGGAGGGAGAGAGACACATGGACTGGTTGCCACCCACACAACCCCAACTGGGGCCGGAGATGAACTGTAACCGAGGTACATGCCCTTAGCGGAAACCGAACCCGGGACTCTCTGGTCCACAGGCCGCTGCTCTAACCGCTGAGCCAAACCAGCCAGGGCTAAAAAAGGTTTTAAACTTAGATTGTGGTGTTGGTTGCACAAGTCTGTGAATCTAGTAAAACTATGTATACATTAAATGGGTGAATTTTATGATATGTGAATTATATCTCAAAGATGTTTTAAAAAATTAAATGAGCTAATTAATGCATGTAAGGTGTTTAACACAGTGAGTAGCACAGTGAGTGAACAAAGAATATTAGCTATTTTTTATTATTCATTGTATTAGAGTCATACTAAAAAGAGCTTTGAAGTAGATTAGATTTGCCTACCTGGTTAATTGTGTGGTCTGAGTTGTACTAACCCCTGATGGCCAACCCTATTATCCTTTTCCTCTTGCCCTTCAGTTAGCCGACCAGGTTGATGAGTAGCATTCATTCCTAGGGTTATCCATGCACTGAAGTCAGAGAGGGAAGCTAATTGGAGGCACAAGTTATTATCCCACCTCTTCTATTCTTTCAGGCTTGGTTATGTTTAGATTGTTGGTCCATTTAGAGATTCATGTTTGTGTTTTGTGTGAGGTAGGCCTCTGACTTCATTTATTTTCCAAATGGATAGCTATCTAGCCTAAAACAGTTTATTTATTTTTACTTTAAGTAGTTTTTTATTTTTATTTCTTTTTAAAAAAATATTTGTAGCCCTGGCTAGTTTGGTTCAGTAGTTAGAGCATCAGCAAGTCACGGGTTCAATTCCAGTCGAGGGCACATACCAGGATTGCAGGTTCAATCCCCAGCTCTGGTCGGGATTGTTCAGGAGGCAACCATCAATGTCTTTCTCATATCACTGTCTCTCTCTCTCTCTTTCTCTCTCCGTCCCCCTTCCTCCCTCCCTCTCCCTGTCCCCTCCCTCTCTTCCTTCCTCTCTCTCTTCCTTCTACTGTATCTAAAATCAATGGAAAATAGCCTTGGGTGAGGATTAAAAAAATTTATATTTTTTTATTGACATTTAGAGAGAGAGGAAGGGGAAAATAAAAAGAAACATCAACCCACTCTACTATGGTCTGAATGCTTGCGTAGTCCCCAAATTCCTGTGTTGAAATCCTAATGCCCAAGGTGATTGATTGTATTCTGAGGTGGGGCATTTGAGAGATGATTAGGTCGGGAGGCCAGCACCCTCATGAAGGGTTAGCACCTTTACAAAAGTAGCCAGAGAGGGCATCCTGTCCCCTTTCACCATGCAAGGGTACAACAAGATGTCTGCAACCCCCAAAAGGGTCCTCACCCATCCATGCTGGCACCCTATTCCAGGACCTCCAGCTTCCAGAATTATGAGAAATAAATGTCTGTTGTTTATAAGCCAAAAAAAAAAAAAACGATGTGAGAGTGGAACATTGATCGGCTTCCTCCTACATGACCCCTGCTGGGGATCAAGCCAAAACCCGGCATGTACCCTGACCAGTAATCAAACCAGCAACCTCTTGGTGCACAGAAGGATGCCCAACCAACTAAACCACACTGGCCAGGGAGTAGTTTTTTATTTTTTAATTAGAATTGACATACAATATTATATTAGTTTCAGGTGTACAACCCAGTGATTAAACATTATTTAACTTACTAGGTGATCATTACTGATAATCTCATACCCATGTGACTCCATACTTAGTTATTAGAATATTATTAACTACATTCCCTATGCTATACTTTACGTCCCCATGACCATTCTGTAACTACCAATTTGTACTTTTTTTCTAAGTGTTTATTTATTTTTTTAGAGAAGGAAAACAGAGAAGAAAAAACATTGATTTGTTGTTCCACTTGTTATGCATTCACTGGTTGATTCTTTTTTTTTTTTTTAATCTTCCCCCAAGGATATGTCTTCATTGATTTTTAGAGGGTGGGGAAAGGAGAAAGAGAAACATCAATGTGAGAGAGAAGCATCAATCAGTTGCCACCCGTACACACCCCAACCGGGGATCAAACCCAAAACCTAGGGATATGCCCTGACTAGGAATCCAACTCACAACCTTCTGGTACATGGGACAATGCTCCAACCAACTGAGATACCCAGCCAGGGCTTATTGGTTAATTCTTATATGTGCCCTGGCACTGGAACCCTGGGCTGGGGGGCCTGGTGTGGGGCTAGGACCCCTCACTCCTCAAGAAGGACCTCTGTAGCAGCATATCCCTCCCACTCTTTATCTGCCACAGGTAGGTGTGGGACCATCCCTTTCTGCATCTCCACCCTTCCCATCAGTCTCAGTGTGGCTTCTTCTTTATATCCTTAGTTATAGGACTTTTGTTCAGCTAGATTTCAGGCAGTTCTGGATGATGGTTGTTCTGTAGTTTAGTTGTAATTTTGATGTGGTTGTGGGAGGAGACAAGTACCGCATTTACCTACACTTACTACCATCTTGACCAGATGTTAGCCTAACACAATTTATTGAATAATCATTCCTTTTCCACAGATGTAAATCAGGGAAAATGTAATAAGTTATATAAATAATAATTTTTAAAACCCCTCCGGACTTCTAAAATATCTCACAATTTCTTTCCATAATCTCTGAAATTCCCGTGATGCTCATTCATTTAGGGGAAAGCACTGAGAAACCCCTAAGAAAATGTCAGTGTCGCTTTGATAAACTCATAATAAACTGCCATTAGCTGTTACTGTCTTGACCTAAATTGGTATTTCAGTTACCCAACTTGAGAGAATGCAGCATGCCTCCACAGGTGCATTTTGGTTGAAAGAGCAGATGAGATGTAGAAAAGATCTGAGCAGAGGTACCGCATGGTGGAAATGGAGAAGGCGGACCATCATCCACAATGCAGTCTGTTCTACCGGGCATGTCGTGGCCAGAGGAGGGGCAGAGGAATAGAAGTGTGGGGACACCCCTGAGGGGACAAGAGTCATTGAAGGAGATGAAGAGATGAGAAGGGGCACAAAAACCTGCCTATGTTTATTTCGTGAGTTTGCCAGTCAGTATTAAAGAGTTTTAAAATTGTAACTCCAGATAATATCCTTCAGTCAGATTTGATGGTGATGATGATGATAGGGATTATTAGCCTGAAAATAACAACTGCTCCTTAATAAGAAAAGGTCACTCTTCAATTTTCCCCTCTCCTCTAGCCAGTTTATGACAGTTGGCTAGATAGTGAGAGAATATTGAATTCTGTTTGCTAGCTTACTTAGAATTGCTGTTGAATAAACCATTCAGATGAAGTAGAATATCCAGGCCAGGCATAGGAGGTGTAGTGTTGGCGGCTATTATATCAGAGGAAACATTCAGTTAAGTGGTAATAAATGAAGTGGGTTTTACTCTTTTCATTATGAAGGGAAGCATATCAATTGCAGAACTTTCTTCTTTTCCCATCTTAATGAAGATACAACTTTTAAGGCTCTATTCTTAAGATTTAATCCTGTCACAGTTTTAAGAAAAAGCTACCCCTGATAGGTAAAGAGGTCAAAGACCACTGCTTCAGTGTAAAGTAGGTGCTGAGGGGTGGGGGTTGAGTAATTCCATTTTGTTTAACTCTCTTTGTTAAAAAATGCTGGAGAATATTATAATGGAGAGTTATTTCTGTCTTCCCTTGGCAAGGACACATGCCTTTTCAACTTATATTGATTCTCTTATTTGGCTCAACTATATGTTTTGCATCTTGTACTCATAATGTCAAGAGGACTCTAATGAGGAAAAAAAAATGGGTCTCAGAGTGAATGTAAATCCAGCATCCGTCCTGCATACTTCATTCACAGCTCTGTTTTCCCCCTAAGGATCCAAGCCTTCCTCAGAAGCCTGTTGACGGCAGGACTCCTCATGCTATTGTTCTTCATGATTTTCCAGCCGGTAAGGACATAAATAATAAAATGGTAGAGCCCTCAGGATCCAGACACAGGCATCCCCCTTGGGTTAACCCTGAGGGATACCCTTCTCTATTCTCTGTGTAACAGAGTCTTAGGCTGGAGGCCATCTGATCAATCACCCACTTCAGGAATGGTTGATTGTACCCAGCTGATACCTTGCTTTTGAAACTCCCCATGAGAGAGTAAGAGAGAATGTTTTCCATATGCACGAACAAACAGCAAATTACTACCAGTTGCAAACTTTTTAACTCTTTCAAAACAGTGGGTACCAGTGAACTATTATAGTGAAATTATTTCTAATTTAATAAATGAAGTTCTTTTCTCCTGAGAATTATAAAACCTATACACATTGCTCAGCTATTAGTTGTGAAATGAAAATATAAATTTTTAAAATCAATTTTTAAATACCTTTTATACCCAAGGCTACAGGTAAACTCCTGATTTATTTATAACTTTATCTAATCCACTTGGTAGACTACTTTTTGTTTTAGTGAGAGTAAATATACTTGCTAAAGAGCTGTAGTATTCCCTTAGTTAATATTTTGAGATTGCAGTGGTTTTTAAGCATGATTGAGAACAATAAGAGTATTACACCATGTCTTTAAAACCCTTTCATTGTTTAATATGTATTCAGCAAAGGGTTTTTATTGGCACAGTAGGAATCATTGACCGGCACAATGTTTGGGGTTTTTTAAACTATTTCCTATCAGTCAATGTGTGATAAATGTATCTAACTTGATGTTAAAAAAGGAAGCTCATAACAGCAATATAAAAAAAGATATATTTTTAAGTTGATTTGATTAGTATAATCTGTTCTCAGAATTAGTAGAACATAACGCCTCAGTGGACAGAACTAAATACTACTTTGTGCGCTGCTTTAATCAAATCTGCAACCAGAATAATTTATCATACATAATTATAATTCTGTTTTACAGAGCAAGTTGATGATTTGAATCTCACTTCTGGAGAAATTGTTTATCTTCTGGAAAAAATAGATACAGATTGGTACAGAGGGAAATGTAGAAACCAGACTGGGGTATTTCCTGCCAACTATGTCAAAGTAATTGTAAGTGGGTCATGATTGTTTTAATTGGTCATATGTTCAATGGGTTCTATGTAACCTGCAGTTTGGAAAAAGTAACCAGAAAGCCTAGATTCTTGGGTTCTCGTTCTCTTTCCTCCATTGATTCATTTGGTGTTTGGAAAATTCCAAAAATAAACGTTTGTTCACCTAGATAATGGTTAATTGTTAATATATTATGGGGTACTAGAAATTAATTTCTAAATGCTATCTGAAATCCTAAGATGAAAAAACACTCCAGGTGAACAGGTAAATCAGCTATTCTTTTTTTTTTAATCCTCACCTGATGAGGACATTTTTCCATTTTTTATTCAGATAGAGTGGGAGGGAGAGAGAGGAAGAGAGAGAGAGAGAGAAACATCGACATGAAAGGGACACATCGAGTGGCTGCCACCCGCGCGACCAACCAGCGCTGGGGACAAACTGCAACCGAGGTATGTGCCCTTAGCGGGAACTGAACTCAGGTCTCTCTGGACCGCAGGCTGACCCTCTAACCACTGAGCCAAACTGGCCAGGGCAGATCAGCTATTCTTTTTTTTTTTTATCCTCATCCAAGGACATTTTTCGATGTTTTGTTCAGATAGAGTGGGAGGGGGGGAGAGAGAGAGAGAGAGAGAGAAACATCGATGTGAAAGGGACCCATCGCATGGTCACCACCCACACGACCCAACCAGGGCCGGGGACAAACTGCAACCGTGCCCTTAGCGGGAACCGAACCCGGGTCTCTCCAGACCGCAGGCCAACGCTCTAACCGCTGAGCCAAACCGGCCAGGGCAGATCAGCTATTCTTGAAGGGTTGTTGGTAAACACTTAAAAATAGATGTTAATTCTTTGAAAAACTCAGTAACAAGATTAAAAGGTACAAGATTGTCCTGAAGGAATGTTCTTTGAAATTACAGTACCACTTTTTCTTTTCTTTGAAGTACACCTTGTTTTTGGTTTCTTTCATTCTTTTCATTTCATTTATTTCCATCTTTTATAAAAATAGACTTCATAACACTAACGCACTTTCATTGGAGGTAGTGGTCCATTAATGTTTTTTCACATGGTAATTTCAGATCTGATTGGGAAAAATTATATTAAATTGTCAGAATTTTATACACCCTCACAGCCTAACCTATAAAAGCAGACCTGTGCCCCAGCCAGTTTGGCTCAGCAGTAGAGCATCGGCCCGCAGACCAGTGAGTCGCGGGTTTGATTACAACCAAGGACACATCCCACTGTTGTGGTTCGTCCCCAGCCCTGGTTGGAGTCCTGTGGGAGGCAACCAATGTGTCCCTCTCGCATCGATGTTTTTCTCTCTCTCCCTCTCTCTCTCTCCCACTCTATCTGAAGATAAATAGAAAAATATTCTCAGGTAAGGATTTAAAAAACCAGACCTGTGTAGTTGAGCCCTGTAAGTGCTAAGCCCAGGTGGCTGTGAAACATGGGGATAAAATATAAAGACAACCACTTTGTAACGATGAGAGGAGTATGGCTCAGTCTCTGATATAACTTACTGATACTCGAAAATGTCAGTAAAGCTCACTTAAATAGTTGAGCATTAACAGCTATTATGGGGGGGTTGTGGAGAGCAAATAATTTTCCATTACATTGGAGACTTAGAAAACAAATATAACAGAGAACCTGTATTTTTCCATTGTAAATGAGTTTGAGTCTCTTGAATTATAAAATGTTGGCCTTAAAAATTGTCTAGTATAGCCCTGGCCAGTGTGGCTAGTTGGTTGGGCATCCTCCCAAGCACCAAGAGGTCGCTGGTTCAATTCTGGGTCAGGGCCCATGCCTGGGTTGCAGGCCCAATCCCCAGTAAGGGAGCATGCAGGAGGCAGGCAATCAGTGTTCTGCTCTCACATTGATGTTTCTCTCTTTTTCTCTCCCCCTCTCTCTTCCTCTAAAAATCAATAAATTATTCTTTTTTAAAAAAATTGTCCAGTATATGTGCCCTGATTCTTTGGAAAAAATTCAACCATGTTCTCTAAATTAACATTAAGAATAATGTTAGTTTGCCCTGGCCGGTTTGGCTCAGCAGTTGGAGCGTTGACACCTGCAGACCAGAGAGTCCTGGGTTTGGTTCCTGCTAGGGGCACGTACAAAAAAAAAAAAGAAGAAGAAGAATGTTAGTTTTAGCATTTTAGCACTCTTCCTCATTTTTCTTCTGCCCAGTGTAGGAGTACTTTTGAAGCACAATTTACCTCACTAAAATCAGTCACACTGAATCTGCCACATTATTGGTATAAGTATTATTTCTAAGCCTACAAGTTTAAAAAGCTGTTTTAAAACTTTGAGCTTTTAGATTTATCAAGAAAGGCACTGATTTATTTAATATAGACCTCAGAGCCTTCAGTGGTTTTCAGACTGAATACACTATAGTTAAATATATTATCACAGTCTAGGTTCACTGAGCCTTATAAATGAGGTGTTGTATAAAGTGCTTGCCACTTAGTAGATGCTCACTGAGTACTAATTCCTTACTTCCTTTCCTGTCCACATTGGTGGGGAAAAATGTTCCAGAGTTATGAAAATGGAGAGAATTCACAAGTTTGATTAAAATTTTTTCTTTTGGGGTTAGGAAAGTACTGCAGAATTCTGCCAACACTTTGAATAGGTGTGGTAGTGGTGCCCAAATGCCTGATGCCTGGTCTCGACCTTAAATCCATCTCATCTGAAGTTTTCAACTTAACGGGTATGGGATAGGTAAAACTCAGTCAGGGGGTAGAAAGATATTAATGTGCTTATTCCAGCAAATAAGAAAAGGATTGCTTAGCTATTTAAGCAAGTTATGTTGTTGTTGTTGTTTTTCAAAACCCAGATTCTAGATTTCTTACCTTTAGCACCTCTGGGATCACTTAATCAGTTCAACACCTGTCTGAACTGGTTAATTTCTATCGTACATCCCTAATTACCTAGCCTTAAACTCATCTCACTGAAATCTGAGGGAATACATGTGTTGCCTTGATTTGTCTTTCCTAGATGGATGTTCCAGAAGGAGGAAATGGGAAAAGAGAATCAGTTTCATCTCATTGTGTTAATAAGTAAGTTTTATTTGTGTTCTTTTGCACAAAATGCAAAGGAGGTGAGCATTTATATCATAATTACCAAGCTTAAACACTTTATATGTGTGATTATTGATTTCCAGTGTGTCTTTTTAATTATGAAGAAAATTTTAGGTGTTTAAAAACTATAATAGATTAAAATGCTAAAGAAAATTCAACATACTGATACAAACTGACAGAAGGAACTCCTCACATCACTACAGGACATGTAGACAGCCACAAGGAGTCCACCTGCTGCTTCCCACAGCCTGGCCTCTGGTTGGGCAGAGACAGTTTGTCATCAGTGTATCTTTTTTTTTTTGTATCCTCACCCGAGGACATTTCTTTTGATATTTTGTTCAGATAGAGTGGGAGGGAGAGAGAGAGAGAGAAACATCGACGCGAAAGGGACACATTGAGTAGTTGCCACCTGCACAACCCAACCAGGGCCGGGGACACACTGCAACCGAGGTACGTGCCCTTAGCGGGAACCGAACCCGGGTCTCTTGGGACCGCAGGCCGACGCTCTAACCGCTGAGCCAAACCGGCTAGGGCCATCAGTGTATCTTATTTTGGCCGTCTGGTGTTTATCTGCCAACACAGTTTTAGAAGGTTCACAACTCTTGTCATAGAAAATATTTAACCTCATAGAAATATGAACCCTACAAAAACTGCTAGACATTTTGCACTGTTTTGTTTTTTAAGAGGAACTAGAAAAAAGTAAAAGAGTTAAGTTGGAGGGGTCTTCCTTTATGTCTGAAGACCTTTTCATAAATTTATGTGCCCTTTTATGCATCATTGTAACTTTTTTGTGGTTTAAAACACTGCCACAGTGCAACTTTATGTTCCAGTTAAATGAGCAAAATAATAGAATTCACAACCAGCTGAAGACTGTAAACCTGTCTTTGAATAGGTCAGACATAAGGAGATGCTCCCTGAGGACTTTAGAAAATAAATGCAAAGGTTACCACAAATAAGAAAATTTCTGATGCCACAATAGTTGAATTCTATTTCATGTTCAATTTTTTTCCTATTTTTAAGCTGCATTTAATGTGTCCACAGGTTGAATTTGAAGTGGGCTTTCACAGCCTTTGGTCTATTGACCCGACTTAAATCAGAATTTGATTGGAGCAGTACCAACCTTTTCTCTTCAGGCAGGTGCATCTCCTTAGCCTGCTGCTATTGAAACTTCCTTTCTAATGCCTCAAAGGGAAGGTTGATGTTAAATCATGCCTTCTAGAAACACAGTTTTATCTCTGATTTTATCTTCTTTTCAGTCAAAATTGCAGATCATTTAAGGATTGTTCTAATTCTCAGAAATGAAGCCTTTTTAAAGGAGATACAAACATCATTTTAAAACAACAGTGTTAAGTAAAAGATTAAGTGTTATAAGATAGTGTGCCGAGTTTCTGTTTTAGTCAGACCTTCTAGTTTTGAAGACCATTTGTCTCTATATACATGGAAGTTTGATATTTTGCCCTGAGATTCTCAGCATTAGCCCCTCTAAACCCAGTGCATTTATAATTGACAGGGTTCAGACTAGGCCATGGGTTACTATATCCAAGAATACAAAGACATGGAGACTGGGAAGATTCTGTAATGCAGGAAAAGTGATCATGAGACATGGCAGTGTAAACTGAACACCACCTTAGGAATTCTGCATGTCTCTGTGACACTGACTTTAGCCTGTCTAGGTGAACAGGTTCATTCATATCTGAAAAGTAAGGACTATGATTTAGAAATACAACTTATCCTTTTTCATGAAAAAGTTTAAATTATGCCTAGTATACCTTGTTCCATAGTAAACAGAATATTTATTGAAAGACTGAAGACTTTAAATCATTTTGAAAATTAGTTCTCTCTAGTTTAACCCACAAATGTAATCTTTGTGATTTTTTTTTTTATTTTTCATTTTTTGTTGCCTTTTTTTTTTTAATTTTATTTTTGTTACAGATGTTTCTCCTTTTTAACCCCATTGGCACCCTCCTCCCCATCGCCCCTGCCCCGTCCCTGACTTTGTTGTCCATGTCCATTGGTTATGCATATATGCATGTGAGTTCTGTGGTTTATCTCTTCCCTCCCCCACCACCCCCTCTTCTGAGGGTTGTCAGTCTGTACCCTACTTCCATGTTTCAGAGTCTACCCTATTCCTCAGACTGTTATATTCATTATATTCCACAAATAAGTGAGATCATGTGGTATTTATCTTTTTCTGCTTGGCTTGTTTTGCTTAGGATAATACTTTCCAGGTCCCTCCATGTCGTCTCAAAGGATAAGAGATCTTTCTTTCTTTCTTACAGCTGCATAGTACTCCATTGTGTATATGTACCACTGCTTTTTTATCCATTCGTCTACTGATGGACACTTGGGCTGTTTCCAGATCTTAGCAATTGTAAATAGCACTGCTATGAACATGGGGGTACATATATTCTTCCCGATTGGTGTTTCAGGCTTCTTAGGGTATATTCCTAGAAGTGGGATCAAATGGAAGTGGGTCAAATGGAAGTTCAATTTTTAATTTTTTGAGGTAACACCATATTGTTTTCCATAGTGGCTGCACCAGTCTGCATTCCCACCAGCAGTGTACTAGAGTCCCCTTTTCTCCACACCCTCGCCAACACTTGTTGTTTGATGATTTGTTGATGGCAGCCATTCTGACAAGTGTGAGGGGATATCTCATTGTTTTAATCACAAATGTAATCTTTGTTCAGAGGTCCAAGATGTGTTGCTCGGTTTGAATACTTTGGAGACCAGAAGGACGAGTTAACTTTCTTGGAGGGAGAAACTATTGTTCTTAAAGAATATGTGAATGAAGAGTGGGCCAGAGGAGAACTACGGGGCAGAACTGGGATTTTCCCCCTTAACTTTGTGGAACTCGTTGAGGATCATCCCACCTCTGGTACAAATGTTTTAAGTGAGTATAGAGAATACTATTTTTTATTATGTTTCGTCCTAATTGAAATAAACCAAATTAATAGAATAGTACTTGAGCTGCATAATTGTCCACACTGAAAGATTTTTTAAGGTAGAGGGAAAAACTGTTCTAAAATGGTCATTTGTGTGGGATATCTCTTATTAGGGTATCTCTCAGAGAGCTGGTGTTGGTGTTTTAGGTGATTAGCAATAGCTTCATACCAGAAATGGCAGATGAAGAATCATAGACTTTTAAACAGAAAGGGATTCTTGTGTAAACTAATGGCATCTTTCTTCGCTTCACAGTAAAGGGAAAAGCCCAGAGAGGGGAGTGCTGGTCAGAGTTATAGAGCCAAGACATGAAGAGCCTGGTTGCAATCCCAGACTTTTCACTTTCCCCTAGTTTTTCTCTACTACTATATGGTCTTTACATCTGAGGTTTTGACTTTTTTTTTTAAACATAGGTACAAAGGTACCACCGAAGACCAATAAAGAAGATTCTGGAGCAAATTCTCAGGTAGGCTGCTTGAATAGATATCTGTAATGAAAGCCAGGTTTCAACCCTGAGAGGAATATTAAAATTGTAATTATCCAGAGGAAATATTATAAAACCATTTTTCAATTTATATAGTAAATGTTTGAAATAAATACAGGGGTGGGCAAAAGTAGGTTTACAGTTGCAAGTACATGAAACAGTTTACTCTTCTTATATTATTATTTACTAATTTTTGTATTATTCATTTGTATTACAACTATAAACTCACTTTTGCCCATCGCTATATTTATTTATATTTTTAATAATTAAAAAAATTGCCTTGTCAGTTTGGCTCAGTGGTTAGAGCTTCAACCTGCAGTCCAGAGAGACCTGGGTTCGGTTCCTGCTAAGGGCATGTATCTTGGTTGCAGTTTGTCCCCGACCCCGGTTGGGATTGTGTGGTGGCAACTACTCAATGTGTCTTTCTCACATTGATGTTTCTCTCTCTCTCTTCCTCCCTCTCCCCCTCCCACTCTATCTGAAGATAAATGCAAAAATGTCCTCGGGTGAAGATAAAAAAAAAAAAAGGATAATCAGAGTGGTATTATTATAATAGGGAAAAAATTGGAAACAATCTAAATAGGATCATTATTGGAAGAATATTCTGAGGCCATGAAAAACTAGGGAAGAAAATGCTATAGGAAATTAAAAATATAGCATAAAAAGACTAGGAGGAAATATATTTATTGACATTAAGTTGCCCCTAAGTGGTAAGATTATAGGTGGGTGGGGTTTTTTTCCGCACTTCTTCATTCATTTCCAAACATACCAAATATTTAGGAGCATTTGATTATTTTTATAATGGGAGAGAGAGAAAACTGGTATAAAATTTTTACATACTAGTCCTGGCCAGGTAGCTCAGCTGGTTGAGCTTCTTGAACAAAGGGCTCCCCTCTCAATTTGGCAAACATGCCTCTTCACAGAGCAAAACCTTCCTCTGATGTGTTCGGGGTAAGAGCATTCTTGTTGGCATGTTCCATCATATTAGCCCACCGGATTGGGATGGTTGTTCTGCCAGAGCTAATGACACCTCATAAAATTAAAAGTGTGAATTAATGAAGTCCTGTGCTATGGAATCTGACAGCTTCTGAATTAAGTAAAGACCTAGGAATTAACAAACTGCCCATTCTTTTTTGTTGTGAATCCTCACTGGAGGATATTTTTCCATTGATTTTTTTAGATAGAATTGAAGGGAGGGAGGGAGGAAGAGAGACAGATAAACATCGATGTGAGAGAGACACATAGGTTGGTTGTCTCCCACACGACCCTGACCAAGTCTGAGGATCGAACCTGCAACCCAGATATGTGCCCTTGACCGGGAATCTAACCCAGGACCCTTCGGGTCGTGAGCTGTTGCTCTAATTGCCGAGCCAAACCGGCCAGGGCCAGACTGCCCATTCTGATCCTTCATAATTGAGAAGTTTCCCAGGAAATTATATGCCTTAACCAGAATTTTTTCTTAGTGTCATAAATACTATACATGAATATTATATGTTTTTACCTAATTTTTAAAGTTTAACTAGAATCATAGATCATAATTAGAAAAAAACGTTTTGCTTAAGTATTAAAAATCCCTTAAAAGCAGAAAAGCCACAAATTTATCACATCTGTTATATAGAATTTTATTTTAAGATAAAAAGTTATTAGAAATTTTAATTTTGGAAACTTGATAGTAACATCAAGTGTTGGGTGATGTAAAGAAGCCTTCAGGCCCTGGCCAGTTTGGTTCAGCGGTTAGAGCCCCAGCCCACGGACCAAAGAGTTGCGGGTTTGATTCCGGTCAAGGGCACGTACCTCGGTTGCAGTTTGTCCCCAGCCCTGGTCGGGGTCGTGCAGGAGACAGCCAGTCGATGTGTTCCTCTCATGTAGATGTTTCTCTCCCTCCCTCCCTCTCTCCTTCCCTCCCACTCTATCTGAAGAAGAATAGAAAAATATCCTCGGGTGAGGATTAAAAAAATAAAAATTTTTAAAAGAAGCCTTCAGGCTTTGAAATCTTATAACCCCTTAGCTTTTTCCCCCACTGTTTTTTAAGTTTTATAGAAATCAGTTTCAAATAAAATCTCATTTTTCTTATCAAACATCTTATTTATAATAGGATAGCAGTCTTTCTGGAGAATGGTGTGAAGCTCTTCACAGTTTTATGGCAGAAACCAGTGATGACTTACCCTTCAGGAGAGGAGAGCGAATCCTGATCCTTGAGCGTCTGGACTCCGACTGGTACAAGGGCAGACTTCGAGACAGGGAGGGGATCTTCCCAGCAGTCTTTGTCCGGCCCTGCCCAGGTATGGCAACTCCTGAAAATGCCTCTTACTCTCTAAGGGGAGCCCAAGACCTTTGTTGTTGTTGTTGTTATTATTATTATTATCCTCCCCAAGGACATTTTTCCATTTTTGTTCAGATAGAGTGGGAGGGGGAGAGAGAGAGAGAAACATCAATGTGAAAGGGACACATCAAGTGGCTGCCTCCCACACGACCCCATACCAGGGCCGGGGACGAATCACATCCGACGTACATGCCCCTGACCAGAATCGAACCCGCGACTCACTGGTCCATGGGCCAACACTCCAACTGCTGAGTCAAACCGGCCAGGGCGGGAGCCCAAGACCTGTAAAGCGATATATATATTTTTTTCCCTTTGGCCATGCTCAGTTTAAGTTGTTTGCCTACATTTGAAAGAGTGGATTCATAAAGTTTTATAAACTCTCTTCTTCATATACTTTGTTAGAGTTATAGAGAAAAAAAGACAAAAATATGTTCCCTTGATAATGGCCAATTTTGTCTACTAAATATATTTTCTATAATTTTTTCCTGCTAAGAACATCCTTCATCTTTTTGCAAGTTAAATAAATTGAGAATTAATTGTAAATATTCCATCCTGAGAATGACAAAGGGTTTCTTAAAATATTTGATTTGAGTTTTAGTGCAGTGTCTTTCTTTATTTTGGTGTCTTCACAGCTGACGGGAAAAGTATGTCTCCTATAGCACTGAAGGGGAGGAAGGCCAAAGCCTTGTATGATTTCCACGGGGAGAATGAAGATGAGCTTTCCTTCAAGGTTAGAATGTATATTTTTGTACTTGTATTAAGCAGCTATACATTTTGAAACGTCTCCTATTGAAGGGTGGAACATTTGAGTGGCATATAGACCATTTGCCAAAAGTGAACAGATCTCTCTAGCCTGGCCAGTATGGCTCAGTGGATTGAGCATCATCCCATGGACTGAGAGGTCCTGCTTCAATTCCCGGTCAAGGCACATGCCTGAGTTGTGTGCTCAGTCCCCAGTGGGGGGCGTGCAGGAGGCAGCCACTCGCTGTTTCATTCTCACATCGATGTTTCTATCTCTCTCTCCCTTCCTTTCTCTCTGAACAAAATCAATAAAACATTTTTAAAAAGGAATGAACAGATCTCATACCCTAAATCTAAAGAACAAGATTAGACAAAGTGAATAGGGCAAATATAAATAATCAGCAAGGTGTTTAGGTATTCAGAGAAAACCTTGTTGGCTTCATAGCCCCACAATCCCCAAACGAATTCCCTATACTTAGGCCCTATAACATGAGATGTTAGTAATACTGGAGTTTTCATTGGTAGCCCAAGTAAAGATAATTCTCTACATGATCCTTGTAGCCTGCTATTGTCGTGTCTATGAAATCAGTGGAGAAATCAGTTGGTACCTAGTGCAATTGGCCACTGCACCAGGGCCTCATAAGACACCAGAGTCCTGTCCAGAAAGACACTGACGGGAAAATGATCCCAAAAGGTTAAGCTACTTTTCCAAGGGTATTATTAGAAGAGTACAATTTAACCTTAATTTTACTTCATCAAAGAGTACGTCTTTTTTTTTTTAAGTAAAAACAAAATATTTTCATGATCCTGTTTTCCCCAGTCCATAGTTGGATCACACTCAGAGGAAAGCCCCTTCGATAGTACTTTGGGACTGTGCCAGAGGAAGGAGGGTAAGTTTAGTAGTCGTTGCTCTCAGGAGAGCCTGTGTCAGACAGCGGTAAATTCTCCAGCACTGGAGATATTCAGAGAGCCACAATGCCATAGAGAGAATGAAAGCATCAAGGAGTGATTGGACAAGATGAGTCTTAAAACAGTGGGAGCCCAAACAAGGTTTTCACCTGTCTACAACAAAATGAGGAAAACAAGATGATACTGGGTATGTGCAGTCTTTGGGGCCCATGGAGTGTAAGGGGCATGCTGAGATGTTATAAGGTTGCTAACTTTCCTGTTTTGTGATGGGGTTTTCCTTTCTTAGAACTTCTTTTATCTTTTTCATATCAAAATGTCATTTTTATTATAAAATATTGTCAATAGCCCAGCCTATGTGGCTTAGTGGATTGAGCATCATCCCATGGACTGAGAGGTCCTGGTTTGATTCCTGGTCAGGGCACATGCCTGGGTTGTGGGCTCAATTCCCAGTAGAGGACATGCAAGAGGCAGCCGATCAGTGATTCTCTCTCATTGATGTTTCTTTTTCTTTAATCCTCACCCGAGGATATTTTTCCATTTATTTTCAGACACAGTGGAAGGGAGAGAGAGAGAAACATCAGTGTGAGAGAGAGACATCAATTGGTTGCCTTCTGCACGACTTTGACCAGGGCCAGGAACCAAACCGCAACCAAAGTATGTGCCCTTGACTGGAATCAAACCAACTCTGTGGTCTGCAGGCCAATATTCTAACCATTGAACAAAACCAGCCAGGGCTCACATTAATGTTTCTATCTCTTCCCCTTCCTCTCTCTCTATAAAGTCAATAAAAACATATTTTAAAAATATATATTACTAGTAAATGATAGATATTTCTAATCTAGGAATCAAGCCTGCCACCCATTCATTTATGTGCCCTGACCAGGAATCAAACCTGCAACCTCTTGGTGCATGGGTCAACACTCAGCCAGTGAGCCACACCAGCTAGGTTAAAATTTCTTGGTTCTTAAAATCCAAATGTTTGGAAGCTATTGCCCTGGTTCTTTTTAGTCTTGACAGTCAGTAGCTCAGAATTAATTCCTTTTATCTTTACATAGAATGTTACTTCAAGTGAACAATCTGGATTAAACTTTTCAGATATTATTTTGGCGTTCATTTAAGTTATGGCATATAAATAACAATTCGCAGTATTTTTCAGAAAATAGGTAGTCATCATTATCTAAAAGATAGTTCTAGAATTTTTAGTTAAGGGATTCTGTTCTGCCTTCAGTATTGTTGATCATTAATATTTATTAAATATTCACAAAAATATTAATAGATAAAACTTTTTAAAAACTGTCCTAGCCTTCAGAAAACTGACATCCTATGTACATATCGAACAGAGCTAAGAAAAATAGCTTTAGTCAGCCACTATGTTGTAATTTAGGAACCAAAAGGAACTTATTTATAACAGAAACTTTGAATAGTCAGAAGTTTTACAGATTTTAGCAGAGTAAAGAAAATTAATAACATTTGATAGTCAGCATTTTTCCTTTCCATTTTCCATAAAGAAAGGCCTCCAATCAAACCATTTTTCCAGAGAGCTATGTACTAGGGCTACAAATAAATCCATTTAGCCTGATAAAGATATTCTTTAAAGTAGCCAGGGTCACTTTGGACCGTTATGGCATCTTAAACACAGATTCTAAGAAATAGTTAGAAACAATAAAGAACAATATAGTTTCAGGAGATAATTTTTAAAATCATGTCATCTGTAAAGGAATTATAATTCACACATGAATAAGACACACAGTCCCTCTGACTGTCCTGATGAGGATAAATCTGTCTTCTGAATCAGGATAAAGCTCTGTAAGACAGGAAAGAATGCAAATTTGATATCGAGGCCAGGGAGGATGGAATAAACCAAATGGTGGAGAAAACCATTATGTGAAAGACTAAATGTACACTATAAAATGTTCAGGGTGTGGAGAAAGGCAATTAGAGTAAAAGCCTTTCTAAGTGAAGAGGTCTGCTGTAAAAGGTGGTGGCCATATTGCCTCATGGTTAGCGATATAGGCCCTGAAATCACACACATTTCAGTCCTGTCTCTACCAGTAAGTGGACATGTAACACTAAGCAAATTACTAATCCCTCTGAGCTTAAATTTCCTTTTCTTTAAGGAAATCTAGCCCTGGCCGGTTTGGCTCAGCGGTTAGAGCGTCGGCCTGTGGTCCCAAGAGACCCGGGTTCGGTTTCCGCTAAGGGCATGTATCTTGGTTGCAGTTTGTCCCCGGCCCTGGCTGGTCGTGCGGGTGGCAGCCACTCGATGTGTCCCTTTCACATCGATGTTTCTCTCTCTCTTCCTCTCTCCCCCTCCCACTCTACCTGAACAAAAAATAGAAAAATGTCCTCAGGTGAGGATAAAAAAAAAAAAAGAAAGAAAGAAAATAAGGAAATCTATACAAATATCTCTCTAGGGCTGCAGTCTTGTTTATGAGTTAATTCCTATAAAATAGGACAAGGCATACAGTAAACACGTCTCACTCATCTCCAAGTCTTTGCTTAAATGTCACCTTCAGCGGGGCCTTCCCTGACTGCTCTACTGAGACGGCAACCAACAGCTTGTTATGTTGTCTCCCCACTCGAGAATGGGTTTTTTACTCATTGCCATGTCCATAATGCCCAGAACAACAGTATCTGAAATACAGTAGGTGCTCAAGAAATAATTGTTAGATGAGGAGTGAGGGGGGAGCATGTGTGCGTATATATGTACATATATAGACACACACACAAATACATATATATGATAGCTGGTATTGTTATTTATTAAAGAAGAATTTAAATTAGGAATGAATTTGGGGGCACAAAATATAAGCAGGAAAATAAAAGTGAAACATGGGTGACAATGGCAAAGGAATGGGCTTTGAGGAAAAAAATGGCATCATTTGGTATAGATTATCTTTATGGCATATCATTTAATCCTCTCAACAAATCATAATAAGTAAGTTAAATAAAGAGAAGATTATACATGCCTTTCCAGATGGGCTATCTACCATGCTTATACTCAACAGAAACTAATCATCATTTCCAATTCCTGTCTTCTTACAGGCTGGAGATATAATAACAGAGCTGGAATCTGTAGATGATGACTGGATGAGCGGAGAACTCATGGGAAAATCTGGAATATTTCCCAAAACCTATGTTCAGGTTTTACAAGTCAGCTAAAGGTGAAGCTTGACTGTGTTCCTTGGCACAAGAACTCACTTGAACTATCACTTCGACTATCAGATATGGTTTTTTTGCACTATTTTTTTTAAACTGAAAGAACTATGTATGCTGTACATGGTACACTAGAATTTTCTGAAAGCAGAAAATATCTAGATTTCATAGTTAGCTTTTACTCACAGTAGAAACGTGCAAGTGAAAACCCATGAGCGAGTGTTCTACCAAGGAAAATATCAGACAGGATTAGCAAAGAGATAAACACTTCCCCAGGGAAAGCGCCTGGTGACGCGCGGCACAGGGAGGCGGACAAGCAAAAGTTGTGTTTGGACATCTATTTTCATCAGCAAAAGTCAACTATGCTTCATTTTTTACTTTCGTTTAAAAAGTGGACATTCAGTATTCTACATGCTGTAACTATCAGGACATGGTTGGTAATCTAAATTTCATTTTTCATATTCAAATTAATTCTAATAGCTCGAGTGCATTATGCTTATTACCAGGGCAAATCCCTGCTTCAGGAGAGGGTAGTTTATTGATTAGTTCAAGCTTGTGTAAGAATGTGGTAAATCAGTTCATGCTCACCAAATACTTCTTGTGTTAATAAGTGTTTCCTCTTTGTCCAAGGATTTGTAGGGGGTTAAAATTTGATGGATCTTAGTCAAAAGAACCAAAATCATCCTGAGATGCCTTGCTAATATGACTAACCCTTCCACATACCTGCCTTCCACATACCTGCCATACTTACTTCTCTCCTCCATTTATACTTTATACAGGGTTGTTATAAAGCACATTTTCTGAATCTGCAATCATTCTTTTGACAATTACTGGTACCCAAAGAAAAATTCATTTTCTTTGTGTTACCCCAGTAATATATAAAAGCTGTGTCTTGTTATAGTGGTACATTATGAATCACATATATCTCAGAATACAGAGCAAGTATTAAGATGGAAAACAATGCCAAACCTCCACAGCTCATTTCTTCCCAAAATAATCAGAATGAAAAAGAATTTAAGAAGACTGAAGGCTGATACTCTTTTGGGGTTTTTTCCCAACTCATCCCTTCACAATTATTAGAGTAAATAAAAAACCACTTCCCTGTTATATCCTTTGTTATGCATGCCAGGCTTAAGATAAAAGCAGTTCTTTATAGGACTGAATCAATTCCAGTTTATGGGCTAAAGCCAAATAGGTTGAAGACAATCTTCCAAATAGATCAATGGAATAGAATTTCATTAGAAATGTAAAACACTTTCTCAATAATGTTCATGACTTTCTTCGATTTTTAAGAAGAGTTTCATATACTGGGCCACTTTTTAGCTTTTGTTATTGTTTCCCATTGTCCAAAAAGTTAGGTAACCAAGGGTCAGACCATTATGTGAACATGAGATGGGAGTTGTATAAGAAAAGAGTTATTTACTTCGTCTTTGATTAGAGGTCATCTGCCAGCTATATGGTTATAATTGATTGATACGGGGTTGTTTTTTCCTACATGTTTTGGGCAAAGAAGACAGTATAAAGAAAACTCTTGTCAAATTTTACTCGAGTAATTTCATGAGAAATGGATGACTCAAAGCATTATCCAAGTTAAATTCCCATTGCAGTAAGCTGTATAATAGGAAGTAGGATGTGTGTCTGAAAAAGGACATGAGGTATATTTCTTTGCCTGTGTAATTTTAACATCTTATATTAAAGATCATGAAAACTTAGCTTTATTGGAGAAAAATATCCTCTTAAATTTTGGGCTTCTGTCAGCAGAATGATAAGTGCAATAGTTGTAAATCTACTTGACATTATAATAAACTGAACCCAACTTTTCAAGGTCCTTTTCTCATACTAGACTAAGTTTTTTGAGAATAGAGATGGTATCTTCTCTTTATAACTCCAGCCGTTTGCTCAATATAATCTCCATAAAGGTAGGTTGGTTGGATGGTTGGTTGGTTGGATGGATGGATGGATGGATGGATGGATGGATGGATGGATGGATGGATAACTTACATAGCAATACTATCTTGGATACACTAAGATTTAATATCATTCCCCAATTTATTGACAAAAATCTTTATTGAAACAAAAATTCCCAGGTTTTATGTCATTTCATTTTATCATGCTACAGTCTTTGCTTGTCATTTGTTATTTACTCAACTGACAAGACAAAATGTAGTTTGGTATGAGTTTTCATAGGTACTTTCTTGTTGTGTATATTGATCGAGCATAATTTTTAGTCTGTTAATTTCATAGGGGAAAAATAGGAATGCATTGTTTTTCTCTTCAGTAATTTTAGGTGAAAACCTGATATTGTTCATCTAAGCCTCTTCAAAGTAGACTCTCCAAATCGTCGTGTGTGTTTTTTTATTTTTTATTAAAACTAGGTAAATCATTTAATATATTATTCTTACCCTTTTGAACACTAAAAGACACCAGATTTCATTAAAAGATGCCCTTGCTTACTTACATGGCTGGAGGGGTAATGTGATAAATCTTTCATTGTGCTCATGGAAATCACAGATTTTGAATATAGTCTGAAACATTCCAAGTATCAGCATTTATCAAAATTAATTGTTAGATCTGGTATTTTTTAAAATATGCTTTATATATGGTTTTATACATCAGTATTCTTAACAATAACTACTTAGTTTTTATTCAGTTTCTTAAGTTTAGGTATATATACCTAGAGAAATACTGAAGGCTATATGGGCATATTATGGAATACTTGGTATAATCATTAATGGTTTATTCCTTGTAATTAATGTGAAATGCATATGGGCAATACATATAGTTCATAATTTAATTCCATTTTGAATGCCATTGAATGAACTCTTAACAGTTAATTTTTCCGGAATAGGAAATCATTTTCTAACCTATGCCTTTTTACTTCACTGTAATTATAGAGGGAAAAAAAAATACAAAGCCTATTTCAGAACAACAGCACCATCTAGGGACCTCTCACCTAATGGCAAGTTCATCCAGGAGAGTCTGCAAACCTGAGCTCAACCTGCAGAGATTAAATGATTTGCCTAAGGCCATACAGGTATGGCAGAACCTAAAGCAAAAAATGGTACATTTCTCTTTAGCAGTTAAACAAGTATAATTGATCTGTTTTTTTGGCCTGTAAAAGTCCTTAGATATAATAAATAGGATTAGAACAAGTTACAAAGAGTAAATTAAAACCTTGAATGTTATTCAAGCCCATTCCTGCTGTTTCTCAGTTTTATATAGACCAGCAGTTCTCAACCTGTGGGTCGCGACCCCTTTGGGGGTCGAACGACCCTTTTACAGGGGTCGCCTAAGACAACAGTAGCAAAATTACAGTTATGAAGTAGCAACGAAAATAACTTTATGGTTGGGGGTCACCACATGAGGAACTGTGTTAAAGGGTCACAGCATTAAGAAGGTTGAGAACCACTGATGTAGACAGTTTATATTGATGTTACCCAGAAACTCAAACATGAACTAATAGATGCATTAATAGGGATTGTTCTTTTTTTTTTTAAGATTTTTGTTTTTATTTTTTATTTTATTTTATTTTTTTTTTATCCTCACCCGAGGATATTTTTCCATTTTTTGTACAGATAGAGTGAGAGGGAGAGAGAGGAAGGGAGAGAGAGAGAGAAACATCGACATGAAGGGACACATCGAGTGGCTGCCACCCACACAACCAACCAGGGCCGGGGACAAACTGCAACCGAAGTACATGCCCTTAGCGGGAACCGAACCCGGGCCTCTCCGGACCGCAGGCCGACACTCTAACCGCTGAGCCAAACTGGCCAGGGCAAGATTTTTGTTTTTAAAAGGTTTTCTGTTTTCTGTTTCTGAGGTGTGTCTGTAGAGCTATGCTCTTGATAACAGAAGAGCAATCCTAAACCTAGGTTTTCATACACAAGTAGCATGAAACACTGCTTTAGTATTTTGGAGTCTAATAGATGAACTCAAGCACTGTCAAGCTAGTAAATTTTTATTTCAGAGTCTGGGTTTTTTTGTTTGTTTGTTTTTAATGAATCATAAGTATATGTACACCATGAACGGGTTGTTTACCTTCAGATATTGCAAACTAGGCAATATCCTGAAATATTTCTCAGGATAAGTAATAATTTAAATTCAGAATTCAGAAAGGACAGCTACCTACCAGTCGTCTATCCTGTTTTAACAAATTGATTGACACTCTTAATACCAAACTATTGGTCCATATTTAGTTCTTTATAATTAAAATAAAAGAAACAACTACATTTATTTCTCTAGTCATATCTAAGATTTTTATTGGATAGCCCCAGTTCAAAGGGTTACCAATGCCCACAACATTGTTCTCCAGGGTCCCAACTGGCCAACAGCTGAAGAGCAGAGTCATTACTTCCAAAGAGCCTGAGTGTGTGGCTAACCCTTTAGCGCAGTACTGTTCCTAAGACTATACTAGGGAGACAGTGGTGTCTTCTCTTTAGACATGAAATATCAAAACTAAATAGAGGTTGAAAAAATTATCCAATTCATTTGTATATGCAGAGCACTCTAGGGGAAGGTGAGTGTAGGGGAGCAGAAAGAGAATGCCATCTTTGCTGGTCAGAGGGGCCTGGTTGAGCTACGAGAAAGCGTAGTTGTCCACTGCAATAAGGAAATAGGAGCAAGGTCAGAGAACAAAAGAAAACAGCACAAAGACACTGTGTATCTATAAGACTAATTACAAAGTAGGATGATTGCCCCTATGCAGGTGTGTCAGGCCATTCCTGGTGGGTGGGAATGCATGGCCTCTATATCATATTCTATTTGACGGACATAAGGGACTTCTTTATAAAGAGAATAAAGGTAATGATGAAATCATAGAAGCTGAGTACCTCAATGAAGATGAGAGTCAGGGTCCCTGCTGAGCAGGCCTGCACACTGATGTTCCCCCTACAAAGCCAGCAGCCAAATCACTCAAGCTGGTACCCAGCTTCACAAAGTAAGATTTTCTTTTTTAGGATTTGGCAGTGAGGATCACTACCATCAGGCAATACTAACCCTGACCACTGGAACGCTGGGCATCCTGATCAGATCTGGCCACATGATTCCTGGAGGTGATGCCTAGAGAACTATAGTGGAGTCAGGTCGTGAATACCATGGCAACCAAGAAACCCACAACAGAAAAAAAGAAAAGTGTATTTAGGTTTGGTTCCAGACTTGAATAGTATGAAGGGCCAAGTTCATTGTGTGGAAAGCATTCCCCAGATTAGGACAGACACAAAAATGCAGCAAGTCCATGACCTAGCTAGCTAGACTCACCTTTTTATTTTTTATTGTTGAAAGTATTACAGATATCCCTTTTTTCCCCATTGACACTCTCCTTCCCGCTCCCACCTCCCTCCTGCCTTCTCCAGCCTAGTGTCTGTGTTGATTGGTTGTGCATATGAGTTTTGGTTTATCTCTTCCCACCCCACCCCTATTTTTCTTAATTAGTGTATGATTTGCATAAAATGCAGATAACTAGGTACAGTTCTGAGTTTTGACAATTATACTCATATAACCATCAATATATAGAACATTTTCATCACCCTACCTAGGAAATTCCTCATCTCTTTGCAGTCAGTTACATCCTCTTCTCCTCCCCCATCCTCTTCCCCTTGCGGAGGTAGTTTTCTATCACCATAGACTCATTTTGCCTGTTCTGAAACTTAATAAAAAGAGAATAACAGCATCTGTTCTTTCTTTCTGCATTCTTTTGCTAAACACATTTTTGAGATTTATCCAATGTGTCTACAATAGTTCCTTTCCTTTATTATTCAGTAGTACTTCATCATATGAATATACCACAATTCATCCCTTCTCCTATGGGGTTTTATCTAGTTTTTAGCTATTATGAATAAAAGCTGGTCTGAACTCGCCCCCCCCCCCCCCCAGCTTTACTGAGATAGAATTGACTGGTATGAACATTCTTAAACAAGTCTTTCTGTGCACATAGGATTTTATTTCTTTTGGATAAAAACCTAGGAGCAAAATTAAGTGGTAAAATAAGTGTTTAATTTTTTAATTTTAAAAAGCTACCCGTTTTCCAAAGTGGTTGTACCATTTTACACTCCACTGTTAATGTTTGAGAGTTCATTACTTCACATCCTTACCAACTTTTTTTTAAATATTTTTTCATTATTGATTTGAGAGAGAGGAAGGGAGAGGGAAAGGGAGATAGAAACATCTATAAGAAAGAACATCTACTGGCCACCTGCATGCCCCACACTGGGGATCCGGCGCACAACCTGGGCATGTGCCCCGACTGGGAATCGAACCAGCCACCTATTGGTGCATGGGTCAGGACTCAACCAGTGAGCTACACCGGCTGGGCCTTACCAACTTTTTTTGTTAATCCTCACCTGAGGATATTTTTCCATTGATTTTTAGTGGGAGGTGGAGGGAGAAACATCCATTGGTTGCCTTCTGCACACCCTCAACCAAGCAGGGATCAAACCTGCAACCCAGATAGGTGCCCTCGTCCAGGAATTGAACCCATGACCTTTCAGTGCTTGAACCAATGCTCTAACCACTGAGCAAAGGCCCAACATTTTTTTCAGTCCATTTGTATTGTCAGTTTCAGCCACTGTGGTTATATTTTGACACAAAACAATTACAGTACTGCAAATAGACTTCTAAGAGCTAATGACACCTGCTGTAATTCTTGACTTTTAACTTCACAGTCTTAGCATAGAAGCTAACTACCCTTCATAGCTTTCACACTTGCATTGCCTATTATATATCCAGTAGAAAACTACCCATTACATTGGTGACTGGAATTGTAAAAATTTAGTTGTTTCCTCTTTAAGAAATCATTTGAGTGCTCACCTCAGCAGCACATATACTATAAAAAACACACACACACCATTTTAGAGATACATGCCAAAATATTGCTTTAAAATAATTGGG